GCCTGATTTCCAAGAGCTGCTCAGCACCGTCCCCGCAGTCTGCTTGGATACCCAAGGTGGGCTCCCAGGCCCCGAGCAGCACTCAAGAAAATTCAGGTCTGGGCTTGGTTTACAAAGCCATTTCTTGCAAACTGTTTGCAAAGCACGCTGTGAGTAGAGGTAGTTAACAGCCTAATTCTCTTATCTAATTCAGGGAAATTATAGTGGCTTCAAAGGAGAACATGAAGATGCAGGTTGGAGCTTATAAGCCTTATCTCAACACCACTTTCCCTGCGCAGGGAACTGACTTGAGCACCTCAGATGTGTAAGAAAGCTCAGGTTCACAAGAAATTTCAATTCCCACCTGCCTCTGCTGACGTCTCTGTGAAAAGATGGGAGGCACACTGATTTTCCTCTTAGTTTTCCCATTCATTATGAAAAGTTTAATTGTAAATCGCTTTAATGATGGCCGTCTCTCAAAATGGCTTGTTATGCTTTAGGGTCCAGCCTTTAACCTTGTGCTTTGTTTAATGGACCTCTGCACGTTTATCACCGCCGTAATTTGCTTAACTACAGTGCAGATCAGATACAAGAAAGACTCATAATAATGCAATGTTTGGTGTAATCATAGACATGTTGAAACAACAACTTTGTTGAGTTTTACCGCAGGCCTAGAGTATGCGTAAAGTACTCACAAAAGCTACCAGAATCATAGAATTGACCAAAATATGAAACAGTGAAGCATCTTTACAGTTTTGGGCAATCAACATCAGGCTATGGGGAAGATACAGGGAAAAAAAAACGATAAATGAAAGGGATTGGGGTAATTTAGAAACTTTGTGATAATGAATTTCTGTGTCCATGGGGTTCTTTGCAACCTCTTGATTTTGACATTTATTCACATCCTGCAGGCTGAAAACTCTAATCCAGGAGAAGTAAAAGGGAATAAGACTAACATAAACGTGCTTCCACGAACGCAGCAGAAGGCGAGAGAGGCGAGGCGATAATGGTGTGAATTAAGGTAATTTCGGAGGTCTTTCTTCCGCAATGTGCCAAGCAGCCGCCGCTCCTACAGAGCTGAACGGGGATGGCAGAGCGCTGGCCCCGCTCCCAGCGCTCCGCACTTGTCAGCGCGGAGCTCAAAGGAATCGTATTTATAGCAAACTGCTCTGAATGGCAGCACTAAAGCAGCTGGAGAAGGCCAATGTACTTACACCTGGCAGCAATTTTACCTGTTCGTAGGGCACTCAGTCCCTTTTAAAAACACTGTGGCATAGCCTGAAGCCTGGAAGCTTCATTTTTTTGGTGCTGGCCTCAGCACCCAGTAATTTTGGAGGTGATGGTACCTCATCACTGCACCTCAGAGATGCTCCAGGCAGCTGCAGACCCAGTGGAGGGGCTGGCACTGCCATGTCAGGTCACATCAGTGTCACCCATTGCCCTGCACCGTATGGCTATCCTGTAGCAGGAACTTGGCTGGACTAATGAAGGCCAGAACATCGTTCTAGCAAGTTTAAGATAATTTACCACTGGGACGAAAGAAAGCAGAGCACAAACTGTGAAGCACTGACCAACAGTTCTTTAGTCACCCACAGACATTCCTCCAGTGGACCAGCACCTGAAATGAACCTTGCTGTGTTGAGTGGACTTTTTTTTGCGCAGCTTCTATTGTATTTTTAGGTGCTCAAGCTGATTAACATGACTTTGGGTTGTACAACAGGAGCACGATATAACTCAGGCAGGACTGTGCTTTAATCACTATCTCAATAAAAGAATCAAAACACTTAGAGGGAAAACCTTTTAGAAAATCATTCTTTGTCAGTTAAGTATTTTTCTGAGACTTTTATTAAAGCATCTTTTTTTTTTTATTTTGGAAGCATTTACTGTAAAATGCTTTTGATGAATCACTATACATAGATAGGTGATAGGAATATAGATAGACAATTTAGCACTGTAGTCAGGAGGCAATTGCTCTAAATTTGTGAGCTCTCTATAATGATCTCTACAATGATCTCTATAATGATCTTCCTGAACAATTGCAAGCACGTCTAGCTCTCTGTGTGTTTAAGGGTTAATCTTTGCCAAGAAACCTCTGTCCACAGAACTACCAGGTAGTAGAGCTACGTTTTGCTGAGCTTATCACTAGGGAAACAACAGTTCTTCAAATGGAGAAGCTTACAGGAAAAAAAAGTCATGCAAAAAGAAAAGTGTAAGATCATTTACCATTTTAAATTCCAGTTTTATCTCTTAATTTCCCAACATTGCTAAGAAACTCCTTCCCAGGGAAAGTGGCCTGCCTACTCAGTAATGTCAACTTCCTTACATGCATGGATCTTATGAACCCTCTTACTTATGCTTTTTGTTCTGTATCTAGTTTGATTCTGCTTTCAACACCTTCTCCTATTATCTCAGATCAGATTAAAAAAGAACCTGCTGATAGATCACACTGGCACTTTGGCTGGCACCTGGTTGTTAATTTTTTCTGCCAGTTCTTTGATGAGCTTTTTCTTAAGAACCTAAACTTTGATTTCCACCAAAAACAAAAAAAAGCTTTTGCCCTTATAGTTGTGAAGCCAAACCTTTCTAATCTAAGTGCAAGAGTCTGCTCTCTTCCTGCATCTGCATGCAGCACGGCAGAAACAAGGGGCTGCATTCAGCACTGATTTCCGTCCAAGCGCAGGAGTGAGGAATGTGCCCTAGTTATTCTCAGAGGGGATTAAGCTGCCTTGAAACTGGGCAATTACATTGGTGTTAATAGTTGGTTTGGACATGAATTCTTTGTGTCTGAGCCTCAGAAAAGGGTCTGTTTCCTGAATTCACTAAAAGCTTTCAATCTTTCAGCCAACAACACATTTTTTTTCTTCTTTCTCTCTTTTCTTTGAGGCTCATAGTTGTCTTTTAAGGTTGTGGAGGAACAAGCAATCTCAAGGATAGATTTCATCCCAAAGGGATCCCTGCAGAGTAAGTCTGAGCTGGTCATAGCTGGAGGATGGCGCAGAACGCAGCTCCGGGTGAGCAGTTGGAAGCAGTAGTCCAGCTCGCTGATTCCCTGGTCTTGGTCTAATGGCTTGCAGGATCATTTTAAGGTTTAAGAGCATGATACAGCAGTGGGGAAGTAAAAATGGACTCAAGGATTAAGTTCCTTGTTCTGTAGAAGCTTCCTTGCTCCGAACGCTTGGCATCAATCAAAGCGGATCTATGCTCTGCCACTGAGCATGCACTGTAACCGTCTTGCTAAAACTCAGAGACAGATTATTCATTAGATTTGGAGATGAACATAATCCTCATCCCACCTCCGGTCAGAAGAGCAGAAATTCGTTGTTGTTGTGGACATTTGTTTGTTTGTTTGCTTTCCCTTCCTCTGCAGCACAAGGTTGAGCTGCCTCCTTGGGATAATCTGGTTGTCCCAGAAGCTACAGTCATTAGTGGGCAGCTACAGTTCATTTCAGTCCAAATGTGAAAAAAATCAAAACTGCATCCAAAGCAATGGAATAAGCATAAGAAAGTCATACCATGGGCACTTGTACAAGTGTTATCCTTCTTCAGTTGCCAGCATTTTCTTCCTCTAGTACAGACAAATAAATATATTACTATAGCAAAACATCCAAAGCCCCACAGCAGACAGGCCATTAGGTGCCCTCCTCTGTAATAATTTCATTTACACTGAATTCCAGCTACTCTTGATCTATCTTGGAGGTGAGGATGCTCCAGTTTTATCACTTAGAAATGAAGCAAGATTTATCTGTATTAGATTTAGGGCCAGACTTTCTGAATGAGCATGTGCACAGACAACAGCTATGTTGAGATTTGAACTAGAGATTTTTCCAGCCCATCTTTCAATGGGATGACTTTTAAGCATTTCCTTTACTGCTGAACACCACAAAGGCTCAGACAATCTATTGATGACGAAGGTCAGCACCTTCTTAGCAGCCCATAAAGTGAGTCTCTCACAATCAGGTTTCAGACTTTTTTAGATTCTAGCCATTTCTTTAGGCAATGAAGCAACCCAGTTCTTTTATCTTGCTATTTTTATTGTTTGAAAGCCTGAGTCACATCTGATCTTTTTTATTTTTAGTTTTCTTTTGGAAAAAAAAAAAAAACCTTAATGTATCTTTTTTTGTTCAGGTACTCATTTCTTTGTGATAGACATAAGTAATGGCTCATTCAGTGCAAAATCAGAACTCCTTACATTTTTCTTGCTGTGATAAGGGCACACTTGCCATTGGCATTGTCCACATTACTGCAGTAAAGATTTTGGCAGTAATTCTACCCTAAACACTATTTTCACCCACTACATTTAACCTGCTTATAAAAAATAATAATAATGATTTGTGCTCTGGGCTAAAATTTGGCATGAGGAATAGTGTTTTTATTAGAGTGCAGGGATTTAACCATATTATCCTAATTGCTCTTTGAGGCCATAACTCATAATTAGTTGTTTGTACAGTGCCAAGTACAACAGGACACTAATCTCATTAGCCTATAGGCATAAGAGAAATACTAAACTATACTAATAATTATTCTGTGCACTTATCAGGTGGCTAGATTGCTAGGCTCCCTTATGCACAGGCTTAGGCTTTCTGTTCAAAATAACACAAGTCCA